AGGGTACTTCCCCGACCTTCCCACACCCAGCTCAACTCCATTGAAAGAACTTTATTTCCAGATTTGTTCCTAAATATAGTGCTATTACAAGAGCTCAGTACTCAATAAGCCTTTAATGGGTAAAGGGACTTTGTCTTAAAAGGGAATGAGATAAAAATTAGGGTAAAAGGAAGTATTATGATGAGCAAACTGCCCACAAACAGCTGAAAGGGCATCAAAGGACTTATTTCATGATCAAAATAGGAAGTAAAGCCCGGGGCTGGTGTTGTTTAGTGGCTGAGCAATGGACCTATGAACCAGGTGATTGTGGTTCGATTCCCAGTTAGGGCATGTGCTGGGGTTGTGGGCTTGATCCCCTGTAGGGGGCGTGCAGGAGGCAGCCAATCAATGACTCTCGCATCATTGATGCTTCTATCTCTCTCCTTCTCCCTTCCTCTCTCTGAAATCAATAATAAAAGAAACATATATATATTAAAAAAATAGTTTAAAATAAAGATAGGAAGTAAAAAGGCAAGAGTACCAAGAATACTGACAATACTGGTAACTGACAGGGAGCTCGGAGCTGGCTTTCAGATTTGGGAAAAGGACAGCCTGAGTGCCTTGCGCCTTGATGACCTGCGATGCTCATCACAGCCTCGGCAACGCCATTCATCCCCTCCCCTGGCCATACGAGGAAAGCACTAAGATAGAAGGGGCAAGTGTTCCTCCTCCTCTAACCTGTGAGGGGCCAGCTGCAGGGGGACGGGGAGAAATGCTGACACCCAAAAAACGATGGAAGCTCCTGCAGGCTTGGATTAGTAACAGCCTTGAAATCTAGTCAACTGTGTCTCCCGAAACACGCGAGGAATTTAAAGAAGAATCACAGTATGGCTTATTATCTTGCAAACTGTCCTCTGACAAAGACAAAATCTGAATTCCTTAATTAGGAGTGGAATCCACAGCTACGGATATTCAACAGGACAAATACTCGCCCAGAGTGACAGCTTTTGGACAATCCCTTTCCTGTTGACTCTCATACAACCCATTACGGAAAAACCCCCACAAACTTTCTAAAAGGCAGAAAGCTGAGCCATTTTTCTCAACCACAGGGACAGACTCACCGAAGGGTATCCAAGACACCCTTCCCCTCCCCCAGGAAGCACTCTGCAGCAGTACAGGGTCCTTGTGTACCCCAACCACCTCCAAAAATGAGGGAGGGGATGCAAATGAGGCTGTGTGACAGTGACAGCATCCCTGAACGTGCCTGACCCCAACCTTCTTCCTGTTAACAATCTAAGATATATTATGGGAACGTTGAGCAGTCTCAAAGCACGCTGACCAGCCTTCACAGTTTATAGAAGTTAACATTCCATCACTGAGCATTACAGCAACCCTGGCAGGCAAGACGGATATTATCATCTCCACTTTACAGACAGGAAACCGAAACCCAGACTAGTTAAGTGACCTGCCCATTTCAAGGAGCTGGTTAGTAAAAGACCCAGAACTAGAACCCAGGACTAGCCCAAAGGTTTCTGCCACACCATGCTGGCTCTTCTTTATGGTAGGCTCTCTGAGTAAGTCTCTCCTTAGCCAAACTTGGGGGAAGCTCAATCTCTTTTCCTTCTACCAGAGAGTAACATGGTTCTTAGTATATGCCTGAATGCCAGGGAGGGCAAAGAGCTGTCCCTCAGCCAACACAGGTTTCTGTGAAACTGCCCACAGGACCCTGACAGAATTAGGACGGTCACCACAAGCTGTGGGTGAACCTCAAGCACAGATAACTACTATCTCTCCAGTAACCACCACTACTCCAAATTTGTATTTCTTTAGCATTATGTTTACTATGTGTCAGGAGGTATTTTAAGCACTTTGAACATAAAATCATTTCATTCTGATTACACTCTATGCAGTCTATTGTTAGCCCTATTTTACATGAGGGAACCCAGGTTGAGATGTCAAATACCTGCCCAAAGTCACTTCATAAGTTAAGTGGCAATGACAGGGAATGGAGGTCTGATTCCAAGCCCCTTAGGCCTATGCGATGCAAGGGCTGTGGGTCCTCTGTACCTGCAGCATAGGAGGTCCAGACAGAACAATTTTAGGTCATCTGACTATATGGCTATAAATGAATTTTAACACATGCTGGAAATAACATATTTGATGTTTGTTATCCTTCACACCTGTCACACCCTGGAAGGCCACACATTTAGTCCAACAACGCTGCACAAAACATTTCTGGCGTGAGCCATGTTAAAAACAAAACAAAATCAAAAACCCAAGATCTGAACTTAGTACATTTGCTACACTTAAAATGCACACATGTGCACACACGAACACTCAATTTATTCACCAAACTTAGTTCCACAGGACCACCTACCCTTTAAAAAAATCTGTTAGGAAGGTAAAGATTCCCCCTAACAGAATACTCCAAAACCTGTGCCATAGGCCCTGAAAGCAGTTCCCAAAGATGAATCTCCAAAATGTGGCTAAGAAAAGCGGCCCACTTTGCAGTTAAGACAAACTAGTGCCTCTGCAATAACTAGTAATTGTTACCTTGTAACAGGTAAACGGCACAAAGATTTCATCTTTTTTACTACTTATATACCTCCTGGGAGAAGGGTGAGCTAGTCATTTCCCCCACATATCTTCGAGACTGGCAAAGCAGTAAAGTGGGAATATAGTTACAAGCCGCACTGAGCGGGAGAGATGCTTCCTTACATTACAGACTCCCCACGCGACGGTGCACTCTTCAGAAGTGGCAGACGCCTGGTTAGCCTGGCATTCTATGCCTGTGGGAACAAAAGCAACAAGGTCACAGACCGCAAGAGCAAACTTTCAATCTATAGCAGTCCTACCTGCACAATCACACAATGGCATGCTTAGAGCAGGGTGAGGCGAGTGGTGGTGCAAACCTGAACGAAACATCCAGTGATTAGTCAAAATTGTTTTTTAATGAATGTGAAAAAGGGTGAAGGACAGATAAGGTGGAACGTGACTTAACAGTGTGCTTTGCAATGATCTCCTACCCTAGTTCAAGAACAGTACTGAAGAAAAAGGCACTTTTAAATTCTGAACATAACCTGACTTGTCCAAATGAAAATGATTCCTCCTAATTTGGTAAACTTCATAAACTCTTAGTCACCTCCTAACTCTTACTGTTTTGAGAACTGGCACCTTTTCCCTATTCTTGCCAAATGCTTCCTTGAAGGCCCTCAGAAAACCCAAGCTTGCCCGCCTGAGGTTCCAAAGCCTAGAGGGGTCAGGCAGACACATGTGAACTGGTACAAAAGCAACATAAAAGGGGTGAAGAGGCCTATGGCAAACTGCTCGAAGACATCAAATCTTAAGTCTTTAAAACACTGCCAACAAAGCAAATCTGTTCCGCCAATGGGTGAGAGGTCTGGGGCCCGCCACTTAGTGATGCTTATGGCCCCTGTGGTGATGCCGTCTGGTGAAAAGAGCACATTAATGAAAACGTACACAATATCAATTTCATCAAGGGGAAAGAGAAGGGAACCTAAAGAATGAAAATCTAAGATCAAGACGTGGTGAGTTAAACTTTACTTGGGATAAAATTCAAGGAACAAGAATTACTAATGTAGCCCAGCCAGGCGTGGCTCAGCGGTTGAGCGTCGACCTAGGATCCAGGCGATCAGGGTTCGATTCCCGGTCAGGGCACATGCCAGGGTTGTGGGCTGCAGCTGATCAATGACTCTCTCATCATTGAGGTTTCTATCTCTCTCTCTCCCTCTCCTTTCCTCTCTCTGAAATCAATAGAGATATATTTTTAAAAATAAATAAATCCTGACAAAGTTGTATATTTAAAAAAACAAACAAAAAAAAGAATTACTAATGTATAACTTGCTTTCTCTGAGGGTGGTAACCAAATGAAGTCTCCTTTCTGAAGAAAAAAAGCTTCAGGGAAGTCTACTTAATAGGAGACAATTATTTCAATCTTCCATAGAAGGAAAATAGTAAAACTAAGAAAATAATGCTGCGATTTCAAAGGTTTTAAAGGAAAAGATACACTGTAATAAGGGTTTTCCCCCACCCTTTGAAAATACGAAAGTCAAAGAATCTGAGATCTCAGAACTTGCTTTTGCTACACAGATTCACACTACAAAGAGAATAACTGGATTTTCATTCTGATAAAAGTGGAGATCCAGTGTCTACGCAGTATATTCAAGAATTTATTGGGGCTGTGAATCCACTACCATATAAAGGGATGGCTGAGAAAATCAAATCTGATGTCCTTCAAATTAGATCCTCTCACATACATAAGGACTAGGTGTTATGAAATTAGCTAAATAAAATACACAATTATTTAAGTAAATAACAAAACTGCTTCAAGGTACATTATCATGCTTTTATTTTTTTAGATCTAGGTATTTTTAAATTATTATTATTGATT